TTTTCATTACATACACAGTTAATAATTTGAAATCTAATTTAGACCGATGACCTCTCTTCTCTCCTGAAGTGGGTTAGTATCAGGGTTAGTCAAAATGAATCCCTTGGCGGTTCTAGTGTTAATTTACCGTTTTGTCTTCTCTTTGCTTAATCGATTTGAAACCAAGTCTAACGTAGCTTAAATGTAACGTTAGCTTTCTAGCTAACACAACACAGTCACGTAGCCTACCTTTCTCTGTGGGTTTTTTTGGGAGTGACGAATGAAGTTGGATGTTGTGGTGGTCCTGTCACTGATCTTTATGCTGCAGACCCTGCATACCGCTGTTCTCTTCTTATTAGCGTCATCGACAAAATAATCCTTGAATCCAAACTTAACTATTTTTGGGGTAAAGCTAGCCGCTGCCATGTTAACTGACACTCCTGCCGTCTAGTGGGTTGCCAGGTTTGCGCGCATGGCATTATAATCACGTTTTTCGAAAAAAACAAACGTAATATCCCACTACAAAAACAAACGCAAATATTTAATTTTAAACAGTCAAGTCCTTTCAAGTCATCTGTCTCAAGCTTAAGTCAAGTCTCAAGTCATGAATACCAAGTCCAAGTCAAGTCTTTTATCAATGTTAGTCAAGCAAGTCTCAAGTCAAAAAATATGGGACTCGAGTCTGACTCGAGTCAAGTCATGTGACTCGAGTCCCCACCTCTTGTAAGTATCATCACTGTGCGACCAAAACTCGCGGCAGCGAAGGCAAAACCAGACAACACACAACTTGTCTTTACGGAGCCAAAATGGCAAATACGTCTTACCTTTGCTCTTTTCTGTTCAAAATTTTAGAAACTTCCCCTCGATTCTATTGGCTCTGACGGTTCAAAAGTGGTGTCAATCACCAAAATCGACCGATGGGTTCCAGAGACATGGCAAATACACCCAAATGACCCCAGAAGTGGGTTTTTTCTTCTAAACCTCTCTAAAAAGGTCAAATTTCACTTGTTTTGCATCAATCTTGATACATGGTACTTATTATATGTTATAGTTTAGATTCCTAAAGCTTTTTGTCTACTATCCCATCATTTAATGGTGGTTTTCACTATAAGTAATTGTTTTCTTTTGGACCGATCAATTTACCCCTTTTTGTGTCATGCTATACATTCACATCTAAATGTAGATGCCAGTTTTAAAACAATAGAAATTCAGTAGACAAACCAGCTGATATTTTTGGAATCTTATTTGCCTCATGTTTCATTCTTTGCTTCTTATCGAGAGAGAAAGAAGACTATAGAAATCATCGCAATCTGTTGTTCCTGTTTGAAAAATACACTTTGATTTAATGATTGCAAACAAACAGGTTAGTACGGTTGAAACTGCCTCATGCATGACTGGCAAGCAAAAAACAAATAAAGACAATAACAATTCAACAGTTTAATAGAACATATTTAAACCCTTTAAACATTATAAATACTAAAACAGCGTATATTATAAAGAACATAATAAATAGCAATAACATAGAATACAATTATAGAACTTAAATACAATAAAATAGGATGATAGTTTTAATTACGATTTTAAATGAATAAAGAAAACATGTAAAGGCCGGGCTTCAATGCTTCCAGCAGCTCTGAGCATTAAAACTAAAAGCTGACTGGCCAACATTTTTAAGTCTTGCACTTTGGAATAAGTGACATACTGGTGCCAGAAGACCTGAGGGGCCGCACAGGACCAAACACTGTAAGCATGTGAGACTTACAAGCCGCTTTAACAACCAGACCTTTGAAAACCAGTTTCAAAGATTTCAAAAAACGACATGGAAACTGACAGGAAACCAATCTATGGACTTCAAAACAGGAGTGGGTCTGTTTTAGGTAGACCAGATAGAGAGCAGTACAGGAATCCAGCCAGCTCAATATAAAAGAGTGCATTAATCCCTCTGTTTCAATCACAGAGTGAAATGGTTGAACTTTAGCAACATTTTCAGGTGATAAAACGCAGATTTCGTAAGATGCATGAGCCTAAATCTTAAGATCCAAGTCAAAGACCACACTGAAGCTTTTTGCTTGTTAGCTTTGTCCAAGGGAATTTGGTGTTGCATCTAGTTTTTTCTCTACACACTATTGAACCTATGACTTAAATTGGTGGGTTTATCCAGGTTAGGCTGTAAAACTCATGTGACATGCATTTTAAAAAAGGGAATAAATTAGTCTATATAACCATGGAAAGAGATGCATTACAAGTGCACTGAACAGTCAACATGTAGAAAAACATTATTGAAATAAAAGGCTAGTGAGATTAAGTTTTTTTTTTTTAATTGCTCATTTGTTTGCAAATGCTTCCAACTCTGGTTTGACATGTTTCAACTTTAACATAAACAAACAAACAAACAAACAGGAACAAACTTACTTCTTCCAGTGTAAACTAAACACACTCCTTTTTAACTAACGTTTTTCCTTTGAATAAAGTCTCATGTGTGTCTGGGCTTGCACTGTATATTTGCTGGCAGACAGAATCATTGAATACCGTCATTAGTTTAGAGTCTTCCATCAGTAAAGTAAAGTAAAGTGAGTAATTGTAAGGAGGGAGGCTGGACTCCGCCCCTTTTGCGTTCGCGCCATGTGACTGGCCAGAGTTGTAATACACTCCGCTCAATGCAAACAAGAAGCACTCGTGTGTTGACACTCAGTGGAGTTGTATAGCAGTTTTACAGAAAGTTTGGGAAAACATGAGCTGCATAATGAACTACCGACTACCCTGCTCTCCGGTAACTTCACCGACATATTCAGGGCGGTTCGTGCCTTACCGAGCAAGGAGCGCCAGGTAACTGACTTTATAGAAGTTGTGTACTATCGCTTTAGTTTACTGTCATCTCCTAGTAACAGTCTTTTTGTACTTCTTATGGTCTCTGCGTTTGCTTATGTTTATCCTTAAATATCTGAGTATGTTATTTAGATGTCTGAGCAATATAATAGTTATTCAATCTGAAAACGTTGTGGAAAACTCCCCCTGTACCAATGTAACTGACATGGTTGTAATCTAATCTGCTCTCGCTTTATGCCCCGGTTGTTTGGAGTGTTTTGCTATCATCTGTTCGGCATGCAGGTCTACCCCCGAGTGAGTTATATATACATTTATAATATTATTCAATTAAATAGGTGAACATTGTTCCCAAAACATCACAAGGAGCTCCAAAACAGACTCCAGCGTGCATGATGAGGTGCACGTAGGCTTACAAGCGCGTCGTGGGCAGCGGGCCCCCCCCCCCCCCCCCGGGCTGCCCACGAGTCCATTTTGGAGCTCCTTGTGATGTTCACCTATTTAATGGAATAATATTATACATGTATATATAACTCTCTTGGGTTACTTAATGGTTTTGACGAATTTCCCAGTTGGGTGTTTTTATCATTTTAAAGCTCTACCCATCTCTTACGTTACATATTAATGTCACAAAAAGTGAATATTTAGCCTACTTTCCCTGTCAGCTTCCATGACGTTTGTGGATAAAGGATGTTTGGACACGGAGACATGCTTTCTCCATATTCATAGTACCCAGTTATACCGTCTGTGAGTATAGGATAGCTTGATTTAAGGAAACAGGTTTTCTGCATTTTGACTAGTTATAGAAAAAATGCGGTTATTTCTCTTTGGTATACCATGGGTTTATCACAAATAAACTCAGTTTTCACATGATGTTCCCTGTGGTGTCCCAGCCTCGTTCAGAGCTCCGTCTAGCGGAGTGATCGCGTCAGTCTCCGGGTTTCCTCCCATCGAAACAGCAGATGTTTACCACAGCCTTATCTGTAGAGAAGGATAAACAGAGTTTGGGTTTGCTGTCTCCCCGGGAGGTTAAAGGTGAAACTGTGCATCGCTTTTGTTGTACGCTAATCTTTGGCTTGGCAGTAAGTTGACAATCTTTAGTTTTTTTCTGAAGTAGTGCGTTTTGTCTTTGTTGCTCTCGCTATAGGGGGAGGGGCTGGACAATGTTGCGCTGCTCTGAAGTGTGTTTTAGGAAACGTTCTAACGGAGCGGGATACAGCGGCGTAGAGGCTTAACATTTTTGCTAAACCACGATAAAATGTGTTTGTTGACCGGAGAAAAATGAGATTTAAGAGACAAACGGGTCGCTGGCTGGAGACAGCAGCCGCACCCGAAACACACGTCCTGCAGGAGACGAGACACACTGCCTGTCTGGGATCTGCTTTCACTGCGGAGGAGTCCTGCACAGATGCAAGTTGATACCACCGCTTACCGCTGAAATGTCAATAGTCAATATTTAAACAATCTCCAGCGGCATTGTTATCAGGCTCTGTTTCTAAACGGAAGTATTTTTGTTAAAGGTGTGGATTTAATTTCTTCCAATGTGCGATTACACTGATTCATACATGACACACTCTTGACTGCATGAGTTGAACACCTGTTTTTATTGAAGAAAGGTGACATGGGAGGTACCAAAATCTTAATGGAAATGTACACCTTGTCCAATGAGTGTGTTTCCAATTGACTCACAACTACACATTGGTCAGATAACAGGTGGGATTCTTTGTTGTCGACAACAATATCCGTATTCTCGTGTCAGGGTGAAGGCTAAATGCAGACATTTCAGTACGGAAATAGTTGGGCGGGAGGTCCCAAGTTGGGAAGCAGTATTTAAATGTAATTATTTTTTTATTTTTAGCCAATTTTAAGAACTTTGTTCAGACCACACAGAGGTCTCTAAATCTGGGTTATTCTTTTTCTAAAGTGCACAAAAAATAGTATGACTTTTTTTTGATCTCTTGGTTTAATCTCATATCTGTTCCTCATTCTCTGGAAAAATGTGATGGTTGATTCATTCATCAGGAAATGTGATTTGTTTCCTTCTGAAGTCCCAGTGAAATCCTCTGAGGTAACCTTTGGCCCTCAATGGAACAGATAATGTCTGTCGGTGGATGTGAAAGATACCTGATGCCTATCTAAAGTTTGTGATAGACATGAGATTGGTATCTTGTAACAACTGTCGTTCTTTCTCTCTACAGTGCATCCGGTGCCAGCGTTGTTGCCATCGATAACAAGATTGAACAAGCAATGGTGAGTTTTACACAGCTGTAAAAGTTACAACACATGTGGTTAAGTGACGCACTGTGTCTGACAGCTTGAACAGTGACCTGTTTCACTTGATTGGTTTCTGTGCCAATCTCTAGATGACTCATTAAACGATACGCATAAAACTCATCTGTGGCACATTTATTGTTATAGCAGGTATTAGGTTCCTAATGCTTCCGTAATTACTGTTATGAACAACCAGCTTTCTGCAGTCTAGAAAAACACAATACATTACTTGGAATTCACCACCAGTTTGATTGACAGGTGATTTCCCCCCCCACACACACGTAACAAAGATATTTTAGCACTGCAGATGTTGCCAAAAAGAGATCACACTTTTCCACTTTAATTTATGATATGTCATTGTTAGAGGATGAACTCTGCATGATTGTGTGCTAAATGTAGTTCTCCTTTTATCCTCCCTCTCCCTTTCAGGACTTGGTGAAGAGCCACCTGATGTATGCTGTTCGCGAGGAGGTGGAGGTGTTGAAGGAGCAGATCAAGGAGCTGTACGAGAGGAACTCGATGTTGGAGCGGGAGAACGCCGTGCTGAAGTCGCTGGCCAACACGGATCAGCTGGGCCAGCTCTCCAGTCAGCTCAACACGTCCGGCAGCACGTCGCCGCCCCTGCAGCAGCAACACCCGCTCGTCAACAAGAACAACAACAACAACCCCTTAGCGCACCACGATGCAAGTCAGAGCATCCCTCAGCAGCCCAACATCACCTCGGCGTGATCCAATCTCCCCTAGTTAACACACCTCCCATGGACAGGAGTGGAAGATCCTGTTAGAAATGACAACAACTGCTACCGTCCCCTTAGCTTCATTAAGGCAAAAGTCTCGTCTCTGTGTTCAATATGCTCCATTTGAGTAAAAATCAACAACAGCAACATCTTTTATTTGCCACCAAGAGCCATGCTTCAATGTGTGCACCTTGCCGTCACTGGGCTTCCTGTTATTAAGACATTAACCACCCCTTAAAGTCTTATTCTATCCCTGCAAAGCTGTAGAAGAAGAAGAAGAAGCAGGGGAGGCGGTGCACACCATAAAACTGCATACTGTTCTTGGGCAAGAGGATGGGGTCAAACGGCACGGGGAGAGATTTGTTGGGGCAACAAGTGATAGAAGAGGGCGGGGCAGCGCAGTGATGAGGCTCCAGCAGGGACTGTCCTTCCAGTATCCCCAACCAAACATCACTCATGCGCTGGAAGAGGCCACAGAGCCGACGGAGAAGCGGGGGAGACGATTCGTCCTCCCTGAGCGGGGGGGGAAGCCGGCGTGTGCTTCGGCTTCAGTGGGTCGAGTCGAGAGCCTTGGCTTCTTATATGCTGCAACAAAAGCTTGTGTTGCTTTCTCAGAGCCACCATACTTTGACATGAATCATTATACTTTTTCCATAGTTCAGTTTTAGTATTTGCATTTATTTATTTCAGGGCTGCTATTTTCATAATGTAAATGGACAATGTCTTGGAGATACTTATTAACAAACAAAAAAAACCTTTCTTTTTGGTATTTTAGAATCTGTCAGGTATTGAATTGGGTAGCCTTTTGCAAAATGTAGATCTCAATAAGTAGGCAATAATTTCCATCATAGAACATTTCTCATGAAATAATGCTAACACTAAAGCCGAGCTTACATTAGGTGAAATCCAGGTTTGAATGTATATTTTGTAAAGTATAAAGTATTAAGAGCAAGGAGGGTTTGTACAGGAGAACACCTGTTGTTAAGATGTGATGGGATGTTTCGATAAAGAAAACTATTAATTTACTTTTTTTCTAGACTTTGTCAAAACTAAAAATAATTTGAGGGTTTGGTTGGGTATAAAAAGCTGTGAAAAAAATTGTTCGACCTACTTTATAACCAAAGACGCAAAGCTGTGCAAGTCTTTTTTCTTTTCTTTTTTTCTTTTATATATATATATAAATGCACACTTTTTTTTTCCTACACTCTCCTTCCCTCTATTTGTTTTGCTGCCGTTCTGCATGTTCTGCATGATCTATAATCAAACCACTTTCTTACCTCGTGTTTTATCCAGCACTCTTATTTTATGTCAAGCTGTCAGTCTGTGAACGATTGTGGAAGGATTTATGAAAGAGAAAGGGAACAATGGGTGGAGTAAGTCAGTGAGGGAAAGAAAAAATGATGGCAAGGTGTTTGTCAGGGCCTTGTGCACAAAACAGTAGTCAGAAAAGGAGCCTTTTTTTTTTTTTTTTTCGTGTTAATGCTGTTATGCAGACGCAGAGAAAAGGTTTTGTTACATTGCAGATTTTAATGTATTAAATGAATGCAGCATTTAGATCTCGATTGTAGTGTGCACTTTGCTTACAAAGATTTAAAAAATAGCAACAATATCCGCAAAAAAATAGCAACAATGGAAACTATTGAGCATTTCACACTTTAAAGCTGGAACGCAGTTGATTGTGTGTGAGCATATTATGGGATGTCCTGTACGTGTCACGTCTTTTGTGCCTCCTGTGCCGTCGCCTGCTGTCGTCAGGCGAGTCGGTTTCTTTCTCTGTGGCTTAGAACCAAACCAAAATGCTTGGTAATTGTACAATCAGTCATCTTTCTATGGGACGTGCTCTTTGATTTCCTTTAGTTTTTTTTGCAAACAGGCTTATTTCTTTTCTCTTTATATATTTTTTCCTTTCATTTGAAGGAGATGCAGTGTACATGCCAAGTGTACTGTATGAAAGTGATCACTGAGCCTTGGAGAAAATATCTTAACAATGCCCTTGTAATGTGCTGTTCAAACAATTTTAGTTTTCAGTCAAAAATAAATTACTGTTTTATTAAGAGAATGTCTTCATGCTTCTTTTATTCGCCTACCAGGTAAAACCTTCAAACACATGCAAAGAATACGATTACAGACATAGGCTTACAAAATACTGAAAATGTTCCTTTTATTCAAAGATAATTATCTTTCGCTTTCACAAACATTTAATTTTTTTTACATGGTAAACCATCAATAAGTAAAATAAATACATTTGCTGGAGAAAGTGACATCAAAAATATACAGTGCAATACTTATCATTATATACAATTACATAGCAAATAAAATTCAAATTTCTACAATTAAAACATTCAATCGAGTGTATACAGTAATCCTTTGTGCAAAGACTTTTTTTAGACATTGATATGATGAAAAACGAAATGTTTAAATAAATAAAAATCCTAATAAAAAGTATTGTACTGGTGGTTTAATCACAATCTATGAACAACAAATTGAGCAGAAAGCTTTAAATTCAGCTCAAATGTGAAACAACAATCTGAAGAAATGTCTAAATATCAAGTTTTATTTACCTTTAGTAATGATTTAATCAGTTATTAGGTATACGAAACATCTATAAATCTATCGCTTGGAAGATACATAAAACCTGTAGAAACAAAGCTGAAAACTGGTACAGAGGAACGTGTAAAATCTGAAAGGATTTATCCTTAGTCACTCATCACCTATCTATCATGTCAGACATCAATTATCACTTCATACTTGGAAGAAAGGTTGTAATTTTCAAAGCAATGCCGTTATGTGAAATTATATCACCCCGAAGCTGGCAGCCACTGCACCCGTTGTTCATTTTAAAGCATGTCAACTCAAAAATAGTCATTAAATTGTCAGTGTATACTTTAAACATCAAAGAAGCTTAATTAGTGATTCCTTTATGGTGCCAAATAGTTAATTAGTCAGAGCTTGTGTTTTCCGTAACTGTGTTGAAGGTTACATTTTTTCCAGGTACTTACTCAGTGTTGTGTTTAAGCAGAGACTGTCACGTCAAGTCAAACTGTGAACCTCATACTCGCTTTTCAACAAAGAAAAAATGTGTGCTATAATAAATCACTTGCGTAAGTGGGCCTGGTATTCAGTTTCATCACAGTTGCATGCAAATCATCGGTCTTACATGCCTCCCCCATGGCTCACGGTCTGGTCTGAAGTGGGGAAGACGATGTTGCTTCAGTTAGTGTGCAGAATCTCACTTCAGGGAGGATAATTAAATGATCTCTCAACTAAACCAGTGACCGGGACAAAAAATGCAACAATACTGCTAATCTTATTATTTCCCACCCTTTGTTCCTTTAAATGACAGTGGCCTGTGGACTCAAAACTAATTGAATCATTTTTAACTGGTAGGAGCGTTATATTTCTAAACAGAAAGCACGTGGTTTAAGAGCAAGAAATATCAGGGTTTTTCCAGAATAATCGAGTCACAATCCTGTCCCCTTCTTAGTAGCAAAGGTTGACCTCTGACCCTTTTAAATAGGCTTGGTTTCTCTCCAAAGCTCCTATCTTCATAACCTGCATCATTTGTATACTCCTCAATTACACATTGTGCATTACTTACCATTTACCTACAACATACTAATTGCTGTAAAATACAAAAAGGGAATATCCTTTTGACATACATTTAATTTGTGTATCCTTGTTTTATCGTGTTAAAAATCTTGTTAGAACCTTGTTTAATTCAGTTGAACATAACTCTACCGGCCTAAGAGTGACATAAGGAAAGATGAGGATTGTGTTGTACAACATGAACATTAGATCATTCAATTACATAAAGAAACTCAAAGACAGATTTATGCTAAACCCTCTGAATGTAGTTTTGTATGTCGCCATTTAAGAGCATGAAAAAAATGAAAAAGGCAACATTTGGACCTAACCGGCACATTATTGCAAAACTAAGATAACTGGATGAACCAGGCTCTGTCACAGTGTGATCTCCTCCTCACATACTCATCATCTGTGTTCATGCTGCAGCGGTTAGCAGCTCTGAGTCACAGCTGCTCACAAACACTCGTGGTAAAGCAAGGTGTGTTTCCGCGTAACTGTGAGCAAATGCAGGCTCAGGACTTTATCATCAAGTTGTTCTGACATGTCCTGAATGTCACATATGGACCTTAAGCAGAATGTGTCAATTATGCAAAAAGTTACATTTTGAGGTACTTGTTTCTTGTGTACTTTGAATGTTTTCAGATTTACATATTTGCTCCACTCGATTTAGTTTTACCCATACATTTACAATTGAACTTTTCCATATTTACATTTTTCCGTAAAATATGTAAAAATATTTTTTCATTAATGGGAAAAGCAAGATATTTTAATTAAAAAAGAACACTTAATACTGCTGAAAAGTTAATGTGCTTTATACTGAATTGCATGACATCCGCCTGAAAATCAAAATGCTGTTTACATGTTTATGCATCAAGACCAATCATTCAATAATTACATAGAAAAACAAACACTCTGAAAGGGCCAATTCTGCACAATCGTACATATTTACATGACAATACTGCAGGACATGTGTAAAAAAGTCTTGGCATTGCATATTACTAGTCTAAAGTATACTTTCTGAATACTGCCTATACACATATATTTGGAGCTTGGAATGATATATAAAACATGTAAATAAAGAAATTAAAAGCTGCTATAAGGATTTAAGTACTTTAGAAATGTATCCCTATTTTAACTTGTTTCTGTTGCGTTTGCACAGTGTGAAGCTGCACCCACAGGGGTTTTAACAGATTTCCAAAGAGGTCATGTATTTTTAGAGGGCAATATACAAGTGAATATTTTGCATTTCTCTTGTCTCAGCCTCACTTAACATTGCTACAGAATCCCGATTGTCATTTTGTCACTTAACACAGAGGAAGAAGTCGTGATTTATGCTTTGCGGGAATGTGTTTGTTGTATGCAAGATCAATTACTCACCATTGAGTCAACTACATCCACACCCAGCAGTTATTGGTGATGAGAGTGACGGTTACAGTGATCACTATCTTCAAGTGATTAAATGTGAGCACATGGTAATAACAATGAACAGACTTTGGTGCCATCATGTGGGTATCATATGAAACTAAAGTGGAAGAAATAGCAAGTCATAGCTTATATTTAGAGGTGGAAGACACTCAGATCTTGTAACTAATTAAGTACCAGAGTGTATACTCTGTTAAAGTGCACCTATCATGCTATTTCTAGGCAATAGCACAGGTCTCAGATATATAAAAAAATATAAAAAACATGTCTATGAAGTGTTTTGCTCAAAATACCAAACAGATCACCCATTCTAGCCATGCGTCATATCCCTCTATTTCATTTCCTGTTTCAAAAGTGCTGACTTTGGGTATAAAGGTTTAAAAAAAAAAANTGTTCAGTACTACATGAGTTTTACCTTTACCCATGGATGCACAATAAGAACGGATTATATGATTATATGAATACTTTCGTGACGTTTCGCTCTCAAAAATTGGGCCATTTTGTCTTCATGCGCCAATGAGCAACTCTCATAGGAATAAACGAGGCCCCGCCTCCCACGCTGTATCCAGTTCTTATTATACATCCATGGGCTGAGCTCATGCGGGACCCGGCAGCTACTGCCTAAACTAAATACTGCCGTGATGAAACGCCATATCATGGATTATCAAGGATTATCTCTGAAACAGTATGGAGCTCAAAGGCTTTCTCTCTTGCCGGTACCACAAGGTGAGTTCCTTTTTATATCCAGCTTTTTCACACACATGCTCTCTCCAGTAGGCAGGTTAGCTCTGAGTGTTAGCGATGCTAATGTAAACACCGACCATATTACGTCCAAAACAGTCGGGCATTGTTTCTGATAGCAACTTTCTGATAGTGCCGTGGGTCCACATTTCCGATATTACGTCATATCGGACGCAAATCTGGATCAGCTCCGTTGCACCCCCGTTTTTAGAGATTTGGGTACGGAGGAGAAGAGAGAGGGTTTTATTTTCTGACGCTGTGTGAGTTCCCTGACACACCGGGGACACATATTATAAAAGACATAAAAAAGTGCATTTTGCATGATAGGTCCCCTTTAAGTAAAATACCTGCATTCAAAATGTTAATCAAGTAAAAGTACAAAAGTATTAGCATCAATATATACTTAAGTATCAAAAGTAAAAGGGCTCATTATGCAGATCGGTCCATTTCAGAATAATATATTATATGTTTTGATTATAATTATTGATGCATTAGTGTTATCAAAGCTAGTGAAGGTGCAGCCAACTGTAATTACTTTGTAAACTGCAGGGTAGCTGTACAATTTGACTTGGGATTTAACTTAAGTTTCATTTAAGTGTTGTTTAAATTTTACATCATTAATCCAAATCTGCAAAGTAACCAAAGGTAATAAATACAGGTAGTGGAGTAAAAGTACACAATTTGCCTCTGAATTGTAGTGAGGTAAAAGTACAAAGTAGCATAACATTGAAATACTTAAGTAAAGTATAAGTCCCTCAAAATGTTATTAAAGTAAAGTAAATCTACTCAGTAACTTTTTTTCAAGATTCAAGGCTTTTATTGTCATTCGTAAATACAGTTTTGTTATGTCGATGAAAATCTTAGGTCCCAGGCTCCTCCAGCAGTGCAACACAATAAAACAGATAAAATAGTGTAAGTAAATAGAAGAAAATAGAATAGTGCCATAAGAATATACAAGTGATACATAATTTGTAAGTAACAAACAGGTGAATGTTATGGATTTACTTTAGCTTACACCACTGTTCGACAGTGAGAAATTAACTCCCATGGAGCAGTCACTGGATGTTGCTGGAAGATCAGACGCTGTTCTACGATATTTGCTTGTGCCAAAAAGAGTAAGACGTGTGAGTTCAAACAGGGGGCAGCAGTCACAAATGGAAATGCATGAAGGGAGGAAAATGTCATTTCTCGGATGAGAATAGGTCATACAGGTCTCAATCATACATTAAGTAGGCCTAGAATAGAAAAGCATCCAACCGAAAGTGTATACACTGTAGCCAGCCAGAAACTGTTGAGCATGTTTTACTG